AAATTATCAAAAACTCCCGCAAACAAGTACGACCCCTCCCTTCCCCCCATTCACACTTTTCCCAAACATGGTTAACCTTTAAACCCCAGATACAACCCCCTCCCCATCCCAAAACCGCAAACACGACCCCCTCGTCCAAATCGTGCGAACGGGGATCTCCCGAAGTGTTCAAGGCGTAGATTAAGGCGTACTGTTACCAGAGTCACACCCACCACACCTAACTTTACGCCAAAACAAGCCAACAACTCCTTATAAACTTGTTGATCCAAAACGAAAACAGCGTATTTGGAATGAGCGTCGAAAACTCCAATCACATGCATTTTGAATTACAATCACCGAAACTGATTTCCCTTGATCTTCATTGCCACAAACGGCGTATACGGTAACAACTTTGATCTAACGTTGATGCCGGCCGTCGAAAAAACGCCTCCGCTGAAATCGAGGGACTGGCAAAAAGCGAGAGACTGCGGACAATGCGGAGAAGGCAAACGACCAGACGAGAGGTTGGCGGAGAAGGCAAACGACCAGACGAGAGGTTGGCGACAATCGTCGACTGTAGACGGAAATGCCCTTTCACAAGAAATTCGAGTATCTAAAGCTGTGATCAGTTGAAGCCAAGATAAAGATAAAGTAAATACTGATTGCAACAAACAAACAGGCGGATGTGCGCGAAAGCACCCTTCAACCACCCTTGTACTTTGAAGCCATTAGATAGCCATAGATTTAGTCTGTATAGTTCTGCTGCCTTTCCTGCGGAAATCATTTCCCCATTCGTGGAAAAACGCTCCTAAAGGCACAACCCAGGCAGGAGTGGTGTGAACCATCCCTTCGGTGTTTAGGAAAGCCCTGAAGGACAATTGCACATGTAGTACTCTTATGCATGGAAATTGCTCGACAAGGAGCGCTAGGGCCTTGCAAAGTAAGCTGCAGCAGCTGCAATTTTTCTCATCAGGCTGTTGTCTGGCGCCCTCTCATCTGTAGCGCTCTCTCGCCTCATACTCTCCTCTCCGCGCTTAGTCTCTCATTCCCTTAGCACAGCCGATTAGGAAGGTGAGTGAGCCCTCAACCTAAGCGTTTTGACGGATTCTTTTCCTTTTTTCTTTGAACAAAGTAGGG